CTACGGTCAGCATACAGCACCAGAAAGGTCAGGAACACGCTGTAAATCCATTGCAGCACTTCCAGTTGTCTCGGCCTGCTGCAGCTCTTGCATAAAAACCTTTGCCTTCAGGGCCAGAAGATCCTTCAACAGCTTCCTGCATGATGCTGGGACTCATATGCTGTCACGTACCTTCTCCTTCCCTCCCTCCCCCTCTATCCACCAATAGAAAACGTTTGGAAAAACCAGATCTCAAGCCACGCTTTCTGCGCAACAAGCCAAGGAATGTATCGACCCCAACATTTAGTTGGGATAGGTTCACATGACATGCGAACGTCTCCTGCAGTACTCACCACGTTCCAGGGGTTGGGGAGCTGTTAGCCAGGGATGGTGGGTACAGCCCCTCTCTATGATTGGGAGGAGGCAACATAGAATCATAGAATCACAGAATGGTTAAGGTTGGAAGGGACCTTAAAGATCATCTAGTTCCAACCGCCCTGCCATGGGCAGGGACACCTTCCACTAGACCAGGTTGCTCAAAACCACATCCAGCCTGGCCTTGAAGACAGTCAGGGATGGGGCATCCACAGCTTCTCTGGGATCCTCCACTACGCGGCATTGCGGTGAGAAGGTCCATGGAACACAGAGGCTCGGAGCAGTTAACGCAGTGCTTTTGATACAGGGACACCTACAGAAGACCTCAAATCATGTATGAATTGTTTGGGTTTAGCTTAGCCCAGTTGTGAATGTAACAAAGCCATTAGCCACCTCTACTCCAGAACGGCACCTGAAGATTTAGAAAGGTTGGCTACCCAGGGCTCCAGCAATCAAGTGACTGGGAAGAGGGCTCGAGGGGAAGGGGGAGACAGAGTGCCAGATTGTACAACATGCGCTCACGTCAAGTCCAATAATCCCTCACTTCCACACGCTGAAGCTTTACTTAAAACTTTTATGTCATCTGATTAAAACAGAAAAAAGAAAAGAAATCTGCTGTGTGGTCTAGTAGTCACCAGCTATAATTCTGTATTCCACGGTAATTAAAACGAGCAACCTTTTACTATTTACCACAACCCACACTTAACACTTTGCCTTAAAACGGTGTCGAATTTCAGCCAACCCCTCATAAAACACAGAGCAATTCTGCCAAATTCCCTTCCGTGCTCTTCATTCGGTGGCAAAATAACAAGAGGTACCATAATCCACTTGATATCATTCTTTTCCTGCTAATGTTTTATTCAGACTGAGCTTCGTTAATAAAGATGCAACTTTGGACTCATGATTGCTCCATGTTTATAAAACATCCAGGCTCCTTTACATCTTGGTTAAGCATGAACAATCACTGAACACACAATTTCCTAAAAAAATCCCACATACCAAAATTGCATATTTTGAATTTTTAAAATTCACTAAACAAAATTTCACAGAGTGAACCTTAAAGTCTGTTTGCCAGGAAAGCAGAAGCCAAAAATGGAAGTTGGGACCCTCCAGGAAAAAAACCAAACAAACAAAACCAACCCAAAACCAAAGCTGGACCCCAATGCACACATCCTTCCCATTAAACAAGCAAATAAATAGACATTCATACAGAGTAATTTGCTCTAAAAATGCAGATACTTGAGTAATTACCCACAAGTTTTGGCACAAATTTTGGTTGCTCAAACAGCGCTGGAGTCACAGTACGTTTCCTCCTTTTCTTTTTTTTTTTTTTTGTTTCTCGTGGAACTGGGCAGTGTTTTCTTTCTTAACACCAGAGAGCAAAAACTAGTCCAGAACCAGATGATTTTGACACAAGTCCAAATGTGTTTCTTCACAGAGAAAAATTACAAAGGCAAGGCTGGGGTATTTTTAAAAAAGGAAATAAAATGTTAGGTGTATATAGCAGTGTCACTTTTTAATGCCAGATACTGGACAAAGGACAGGGGCCGACCGCACTGCATTTTTAAAGTAGTACGACTATCGACAGACTTGAGAAACATTTTAACACTGTACATTACAACAAACTATTGAGTTCACTTCTACACAAGCCAGCAAAAAACCTAGGTGATCCAACATGATATGGCAGCTGCAAATTTAAAATGATAGTCACAGTCCAAAGCCAAAACAAAAACATCTCCAGAACTCCTATTTATAAAAAAGGAATGAACGTACACACCACACGTGCGTGCACACGCGCACGCAGACAAAAATCTTGAGGTTTTACTTATTGCTCTTACACAAGGCTGTCAGCAGGCAAATGTCCGGATCAGAAATTAGGTCAAACATGCATTTCGGCAGGCACAAAAAGTACAGGAAATTCATATTAGTGAAACAATGTACTCCATTACGTAATGTAGGATGGTATTCTGCTAATATTAATACTTATGTCATTAATACCGGATAAACTCCGGGTCTGCCTGTTGCATAATGTGTTATGCAGGGAGGGATTTTAACCTAATTTCTGATTTCTCTTTCATACTGTACCCTCGACGTAGGCACGAAGAGGGGCGGTTTTCAAGACAGCCATTCTCTGCACTGCCAGATAAACCTCAGCCTCGAGAGCTTCAGCCAGGCAGGAGGAGGTTAACGCTATCAGCACTGCGTCTCCAAGACCTGCTCTTCGGTTTGGCGCAGTCATGGACAACTTGGATAAACAAATGCAGAAGTCGGCGCGAAACGCATCAGCGCTGCTCTCGGAGCCCCTTCCAGCTCCACGCTCCCGATACACCTGGTAGTCAGTTGCTACAGGGGATAAGGCAGTAGAGGGTGGAGTCCTGTATCTGGTCACTTCCTCACGAGTCTTATAAAGGCAAGATTATTTTATTCTTTTTTGTGAACTGGCTTTCCTGTACACAACAAGCAGCGTAGCATGGATGGCAATAGAAATCTGGCTACCTACTGGCAATGAGAGACTAGCACCTTCACAAGACACGTTTTGGAATTCCTGCGGTTCCCTACTGCAACCAAATTAAAACATGCTGCGGAAAGGTGTCCATGTAATTACAATACTCGTAAGCCAGGTTCAAGGCATACTGCACATGAGCCTTGCATGAAAAAGGCATTGAATGTGTTATCTGAGGAGTTTTCTTTTTTGGCTGTGCTATGCATACACATGACAGTAGACAAAAATCAGCCCAATGGTTCCTTTCCGTACATCCATACATCACTCAACACATACCATAACGATTAAGCACCGCATATGCCATTCTTCAGTTAACGAGAATCAAGGAAGAAAACGGTGGTTTGGGAAGAGGGAGGGCAAGAAATCCAGCACAAAGTTAGAGGTATGTTCCTGACAGAAGTCCTAGCTGAGAACGTTTATTGTGAACCAGCAACTGGATTTTGTGACATAACCAGAAAGACACCGATGTCTACAGCACCAACTTGGGCACTGCATACTCAAAATTGTGTTCTCTGGTGTTATAATATGGCATTGAGCAATCTCTAATTAATTATTAGAAAGCGCAGTAGGTAGACAAGAGGTCACGCTTGAGGGAGGTTATGCTTTGTACTTGTTAAAAAGAACCAGTGCAAATCAGTAGCTTTTTCTGTCTTATTAAAGGTCTGTCATGTGCTCCTTGATCCGATCCCTAAATTTCCCACAAATTTCAGCTTTCAGACTTGCCAAATACCCAAATTCACACTGATCTCTATTTTACTTACGAGCAGTACTACTAAAGCTAGTGTTACTGCTTAAAGCAAGGCCTTACTGCAGTGAAGGTTCAGGAATGTGGCTCTTCCCAAGAAGTGAACTGCATCTAACTGGGGTGTCATGACACCCACAAGTGAAGAGAGACACTTACTGGGGCTTGGTCTTTTGTTTTTCAAATCTGTCCTTACAAACACCAACATTTGTCAGAGTGAAACGCAGCAAAAGGCTCTGTTATGCTCACCCAGATGTTCTGACACCAGGACAGCCACAGTGGTTTAGGAGGAGTAGCCCACCCCATAGAGGGTTATGTTGGCTGGGGTTCCCCTCCCAGCTATCTCCCTGCCTCTTACTAGGTGACTGCACAGAAGGGTCCTTGGTCTCAGTTAGGATGGTGAGGCTTCCTTAGAACAAATCCTGTGTTACACCACCATCCATGGGTGCACAGTTGCATCTCCTAGGAAAGAGGGAGGCAAAACAGGTCTACATTCTTTAGAAACAATTAAGAAAACGCAACTTCTCAAAAAAAGAAAAAATAAGAACGACTTTCTATCACATCCTTGCAGGGAGGAGTCCTAGGACTTCTTACAACCCACTTCTTCACTAATGGCTATGAAGGCCAGGTCATCGGGAAGCCCTGCTGCCAGACTGCAGGCAGAACAGTGTGTCTGGTGTTTACCGTTCATAGCTGTTTCTTTGTGTGCAGCCAGCTAGGCAGAAGCGTTTTGGCTGCATTTTTAGGCATTCCTTTCCTAGCCCACTCTCCTTCCCTGCTCAGAGGCTCCTTCAAATAAAAGATGCTGGGGATGCCAGTTCCCCGTAGCTGGAAAAAAAATGGGGAAAAAACAGAGAGGCAAAAAAGACACACCACGGAACAAAACAATTGCTTGTAAAACACTTCCTTTTAAAAACTATTGTACAACGTCCTAACTTGGTTTAATTAATGTGCACTTTAAAACATATAAAATGCCTTATCAGCTAAATTGTATCTTGGGTTTACAAGTCTCCCTCCCTCCCCCCATTAAAAAATAATGCATGTGTGAACTGGTATCGAACACCTTGTACAGAGTCGCACGCCAATTCTCCTTTAATTCTACATGGAGCAGTTTTGATTTTAATCTACCGTGTTTAGAGAAGAGCTAACACCGTATACTTTACGGTATAACCAGCTACATAGATGTCTTTAATCTTGTAACACAATTTTTAAAAAATCACTGTAAGTTGCAGTCCCTTTCTTAAATGATTATGGTGACGCATGCAGTCCTCCTCGGTGCCGCTGCCGCCAGACACGGGATGCGATTTTCTCCTCACGCTGTCGAGAGGCCTGACGCCGCACCGCCGGGGGCCACGGCCAGGCCAACACACCGCTGCCCTGGTGCATAGCGTCCTGCAGTCACTGGGCGAAGCTGCGGTGAACTGTCTTGCTCGATACCACCACCACCACCACCACCGCCCCAACCCAACTCCCAGTGGGAGCGCAACCCCTCAGCCGCAGGAGATCACCGTGAAGCGCTTGGAGATGCACGACATGTTGTGGAGGACGATGCCCAGGAGAAAGACCAGGACACAGGCCACCAGGATCACAGTGCAAACCCCCGACCAGGTGGAGCTTTTGACAACGCCTCTCCGGTCCGGCTCCTCCGCTCCCCCCTCGGCGGGGAGGCCGCCCTGCTCCGGCTGCTGCTCCGCCGGGATCGTCACCACTGCCAGGGACTTCTGCTGGCTGCCGGGCAGGAGGCGGCAGCCGATGTCTCCCGGCAGTAGGGCCCTCTCCTTGGAGAGGGGCAAGGGCAGCATGTAGCACCCGTTGCTGGGGAGTTTGATGAAGACGGGGGTGTGCTCCGAGGTGTGGGGGATCGCAATGACGGCAATCACGTCGGGGTCATCGGGCAGGTGCGACACAGAGTACCCGGGCGGCAGCTTGGTGATCCCGCGGCACCAGGGGCAGCGCAGGTCCTTCTGGCTGGTCCGCATCTGCTGCAGGCACACAGAGCAGCAAGTGTGCTTGCAGTCCAGGAGCTTGGGCCGCCGGCGGGGGCTGTAGTAGTTGAAGCAAATCTGGCATTCCAGCAGAGAGTCCTGGGACAGGGTCTCCATGGCGGCCAGAACAGGGAGGCACAGCCGCTCTCGAGAAGCCTCAGTCCAGTGCCCCACAGCCGAGGGGGCAGCACCCGCCTTCCCACCGGTTCTTGGGTTCTTCCCCTCAAGGCAGTGCCAGGCAGGAGCTAGGGAGAGCACAGGAGCACCTCTGGCCTGAACCTTTCAGTACCTGAGACAAATAGAAAAACGTGAAGGAAGAAGTTACTTACAGGAACCAGTGGGAAACCGGGGAAGAGCAATCAGTGGGAACAAAAGAGCCCAGCTAAGGGGGAATGAAAGCTAGCACTGTCCTTGTAGTCTGGGTTGGGGGGGGAATTTGTGACCCTTAACAAGAAAGCATCTTCCCACTGGCTTCACCAACCAGCCCAGTGGCAAACCTTCAGGTCAGCCATCACTAGATGGATCATGAGATCTCCCCCTCCCTTTTTTTTATTTAGCTACAAAAATCCCTATGAACCCACCAGTCCACCATTTCTATACATAACAGGGGAGGCTGTAGTTCACTAAGCAGTTCCTTCAGCATCTACCTCCTGTCAATTTTTCAGGACTTTTCAGCCCTTCTGGATCCTTAACAATTGTTCTCATTTAATCCTTTAAACCCCTGAGGATCTTTAGCTATTTGGCTCAACTGCTAGGTCTTTGTGAAAGGTGGAGGAAAGGAAAAAAATACGTTAAAACGAATGCATTTCCTCAGGCTCCTGAACTTGTACCTGTTCATAAATGAGCAACCAAGTAACCGGACTGACATACCCACAGTTGCACACAGTGAAAAGGAATGGCACGGTTTTCAGTCAAATTAACTCTTTGCCTGGTTACAGAAGCAGCTTGTTGGACCTCTGTTGTCCCTCTGAAACCTACACCTTCTCACTGATAAAAACTTCACCCGAGACGTTTAAACCCAGTACTGCTGAACACCAGGGAGAACCATCTGTTAATGCACCGAATTAAAGGCAAATTGTTACTAACCTTGTTCTAAACTATCTGTTATAAAGGGATTCCTTGTATTTCCCCACTTATTTTTTATAGATATGCAAAAAAAAATAAAAGGCAGCTGTGTTTCCTTTCCCAGTGAGGTGTTTAGCTTGCTTTAATTTTGGTCATTTCAGCACGATAAATATGAAGGTGTGACATTTTTACAACTTTTTGCATTGCTTTCCTTGCCGTATTTGAAGAAGTATCAGCCCAAATTTGCACCCAGAGAATACAATAAAGAAAACCCAAAATATTTGCATGATGACCTTTGATCTTCTCTTATTGCAATGTTATTCCCAAAACAGAGTTAGCACCTGAGGACCACAGCTGTTGGAGGACTTTTTTTTTCTTTCCATACAAATATTCCTCACTCTTCCCTCTGGATCATAGCAACGAGGCTGCAACAAGCTAATCAATGGGCAACGTCAGTATAACAGAAATAATGTAGTTGGAGATGAGAAGGCAGAGAAAGCAGGCACAGACGTGGGGCTGGCAATGCAGGACAGCCCTCTGGACCCCGCTGTCCCATATCCTGCTTCTGGCAGTTAGCGGTGTTTGAACAGGGAAAACCAAATACACGTCATCTCTCCCAGATGCTAACAACTGATACCAGAACTGGCACCCGCTGCTGATTTTGTAACAGCAGCTGATTTGGCTCAGAAGGCGCTTTCACAAACACGCGGTGACAATCCTGACTCAGGAGGGAGCAGGGGACGCGGTCACGAAGGCAAGAGCTTGTGAAACACAAGCAACGGCCGCAGAGAGAAGCAGCACGTGCCAGCCTCCTGAGCGGCACCGTTGGGATGCTTTGCGGGAATGCAGCACAGAGGCCACCGCTGGGAGAGACCTGACTGGCCTGAGGTCAGCGCGTGGCCATGCGGTGCCTGCTCTGCACCCGCAATGTATTCCACGCGGCACTAACCGACACCCTGCGCGCAGAGGGTGCCGAACACTGCCGCGCAAGGGGCCTAGCATCCGCCCCCCGCGTGCAGGCCACACCGAAGGAAAGCAGAAGAAAATTAGCAGGGCTTTTATCTTCTTTACCCTCTCCTTCCCGTTACCATCACCACATCCCTACAGTAGAGGCAATCACAAACATGACTGCCAGAAAGGGTCATTTCATTACAAGACTGGTGTGCAGCTGAAAAATGGAACAGAGCGAGCCACAGTGCTAGGCAATTCCTGCCTGAAAAACATTAAGAGACAAAGGCCAGATTAGAAGTTAGCTACAGGAATTCAGGAAGGGACCACTGAAGTAATCAGATCCAGCGGGTTTATGCTTTGCACAGAAGTATCCACACAAAAATCCTCTTAGCCACACACCACCCATGCCCAACTTGAGCTCAGACATTCAGAGATGCAACTCTGATCTGCTGTATCTCCAAATCTATTTTTGAAAAAAATAGGTCTAACAATACTGCAGTATTTTTATGGGGGGGAAAAAAAAAGTCCCAATGCTTGGAAATTCAGAAGGTAAGACTAATGTTTAAAAACAGAATGGAAGTAATCCTACTGCAGATGCAAATCAGTATCTCTGCATAGAAGCTCTGCTCTCCACATTTGGGATGTCAATGAACTGACCGGTGAACTTCTCTGACCTCATTTAGATGTCACCTACAACCACCTCTCTCCATTTACAGTGCTAAAGGTAAACCAGTTTATTGATGTGAATGTGATTGGGATCAAGACCTCATATCTTGTCCAGGATTCATATGCTCATGTGCTATCAAGCTCCTCGTCCCTGTCCCATTGACATCCTTCCAGAAGGATCACCGGTGTTAGGAGAGAACGAGATGAGGTATTCCCAACGTAATAATGAAACAAAAGTCACCTCCAGGCAAACAGAGCCCCAAGGAAAGAGGATAAAATCCATCCCAACAAGATGATCTCAGCTGGTTTGAATGCTAAGTAAAGCATTTCTCCAGGAGGTCAAAGTTTTAAAGCATTCCATTAAAGGAAGAAAAAGGAAAAGTGTGGAGTCAAATTAAAAGGTTAAGATAGAGCTTATCACCTACATGACATACATTGTGCAGATATATTTGCAGAAGCTGTAAATATAGTGAAATCCCCATTTCGCCCCGGTGCACAACCAAGGAAATGGTCAGTTCCAACTGAGTGTCTTGAAGTGACACTTTTTTCCTTTCCTTCCTCCCACCTGAAGGAACAACTATAAACAGTATTTCAAGTAACAAGGTTGCATTGTGCATATACCTATACTGAATTCTAACATTTCTTGCTTCCCAAAAGGTCTCCAATAAGGATCAGAGGTGTATTCTGACACATCAGTGGTAACATCCCATAAGCAGTGAGGTGAGTACAATTCCTTCAGAATATGTCTAAAGTTAAAGAGTAGCCACAGCCACCTGAGCCCTTGGCCTTTATTGCCACTGCCTTGTTCAAAGGTTGGACATCTAGCTTATGGGTGCAATGTAACTTCATTCCCAACCACACTGAAAGCCCCACAACCCTCCCACACTCTGTGACAGCTCGGTCTGGGGACAAAGAAAAATCAAGCCATAATCTACAGCCAGAATTAAACTGCATAATACCTACACGATTCATTTAGAATCATAGAATCACAGATTGGTTAGGGTTGGAAGGGACCTTAAAGACCATCTAGTTCCAACCCCCCTGCCATGGGCAGGGACACCTTCCACTAGACCAGGTTGCTCAAAGCCTCATCCAGCCTGGCCTGGAACACTTCCAGGGATGGGGCATCCACAGCTTCTCTGGGCAACCTGTGCCAGTGCCTCACCCCCCTCTCTGTGAAGAATTTCTTCCTGATATCTAATCTAAACCTCCCTGTTTTCAATTTGTACCCATTACCCCTTGTCCTGTCACTACAGGCTCTTGTAAAAAGTCCTCTCCCAGCACCCTTGTAGGCCCCCTTCAGATACTGGAAAGCTGCAATGAGGTCTCCTCGGAGCCTCCTCTTCTCCAGGCTGAACAAGCCCAGTTCTCGCAGCCTTTCGTCATAGGAGAGGTGCTCCAGCCCTCTGATCACCTTCGTGGCCTCCTCTGGACTCGCTCCAAGTGGTCAATATCCTTCTGATATTTTGCAGTACCCAGAAAGGAAAAAGCCACAGGAGCTCTCTCAGTACTCTTCTACTGCTTCATGTTAACAACTACACCAAGATCTAACACTGCAGCAGCCCTCCTCCTGGACAGGGGACTGAATCCTCTCAACGCACCCTGTACCAGTTGGAGGTACTGAGCTATCGCAGGTGAACACCTCGCTCAAAGCTTACCCAGACTCAACACTTCGGGCACAAAGACCATGAGGCAGCCACGCGGCACATGAGGGACGCCTGTGGTCAGCATCAGCCAAACCCATCGTGTTGTCATCTGCTTTCATCTCCAGGGACACCTTGGGGGGTGAAGGGACTGCTGACAGGAAAACGGAGCAGGGTATCAGAAAAGACTGCCAGGGATATCCTTAGTTCTCCGCAAAAGAAACAGCATATGTGTACATGTGGCACGCAGGTGGAAGGGAGAGTTGGGGACTATGACAGCGAAGCCATACACACAGATACAGCTACAACTGCAAGTAGTGACTCTGCCTGACACAAACCTGACAGCAACTGGAAGCTCTTCAGGGCTAAGATCTAACTAGTAACATAAAAACCAACTGGGTATGAAAATCCAAAAGCTCCAACACTCAAGCGTCAAAAAGGTGCAGCCAGAGAGAAGGAAGCAAGAGACAAGCCGCACAAAGGAGCGCTGAGAGACCTCTTTGCCTCTCATGCACTCTCTTCCCCCGCTGTGGGTCTGCCCAACATCCACAGGGCTGCCACTGGCCAGCGAGACAAGAGGTTCTCAAGCAGGCAGAGACCCAGGGAGGAGCCTGCAAAGCAGACGATCCCTGCAACAGAAGATCAAGGTACAGCCAGGTGGCCAAGAGCACGCGCAAAGGTCCTCCTTGCAGATTTGGGCTGCCCTCTCCACGAGATGGTAAGATTTGAGAAATGATCAAGTGACTCGAGAAATAAAGGTCTGGAGAATGGAACAGGTATTTCAGCTGTTTGCCAGTCACGCTAC